TTTTAGAATCATATCAAAAAACCATCCCCTTTGTGGGTAGAAGTAATAGGATTTCAAAGCTGAATGAAACTATATTTTAGCTCTTGGCCTTCGAATATTAGCTGTGTGTGTGTGTGTGTGTGTGTGTGTGTGTGTGTGTGTGTGTGTCTGTATATGTGGTCAATAGTTATTAGTAAATTTCTCCAAAATGATACCTAACAGAGCTTTATAACAAATAATTCAAGGGACGTAAGGTGATTAAAACAGTATGATAGTTAAAAATGCCATTATAACATAATGGTGAATTTAAAAATGAAGAGCGTTTTCTATTAAAAAGTACACACTACCATGTGAAAGAGAGTTAATGGTCCAGATGTCCAGTGTGGTGAAGTGGGGCTCTGTATGGAGCTTATCTGTTACCTTTATACATTTAGGAAACCACTGGGGGAGGTAGGAGAAGTTGACTTGGTGATTATAGGGAAGGACATTTCACCTCAGCCTTAGGAAAAACTTTCTGTCAACTAAAGCTGCTCATTCATGCAGTGAACTACCTCCAAGGCAGCCACTCCCTGTCACTCCAGGCAGTCATACAGGGTTGAACAGCAGTCAGAGAGCGAGTGAGACCCCAACACTGGAGAAGGGATGGAGTAGCTCACCATTTGCATTTTGACGTGGCTTTAGTATACATGAAATAAGAGATGCAGAAGCTACTTAACAAAGTGAGTTGTTTCAGTATATTTAACGTATTTCTAAATCTGTTATCATGAAAGATGCTGAAAACAGGAAAATGCAAGAAATGGGGAAAAAAGGTTATTTAGTCTATTTGAAGAACATACATTTGGAAATAAATAAGGACTGTTCTATAAGCCAGTGGACTCTATAAAGTGATTTTAGATTTTAGAAAATATTGTAGAACTATCAAATAGCTCCTAAAAGTTTTATACCTCTACTTGAGGGCAGTTCAAGTGATAAAATAGGAAAAGTCAGGTATTTGCACAAAAATGCTAAATTGACATAAAACTCAAAGCACAAATAATTTCTGAAAAAATGTGAACTACCAAAATACAACATTCCTAATAACTGAGGCCAATTATAAAGACAGTATCTTAGTTACTTTTCTCTCGTCGCTGAGACAAAATACCCGACACCAAAGTTAAAGGAGGAGAGGTTTATTTAGCTCACAGTCTGTAGAGGTTTTGGCCCATATCAGCTGGTTCCAAGGCAGAGTGGTAAGGCAAGGGGCAACAGTTCATGGTGGCAGAAGACAGCAAAAGCAACAAGAGTCATATTAGGGCAGTGTCAATCCAATCAATGGACTGATCCAGCAATCACCCACCCTAATCCCAGCCCCTTTAAATTCAGCTTTGCACATGCTAGACTCAGCCACCTCTGAAAAAGTCCCGTGACCACCTGAGGCTTTCAAGGAGCATCTAGACACAAACCATAAGGGAGTAAGCTATTAAGATTATAAAATATACTGAGGCACATGGAGGTATCTATGAAGGCATCCCAGGAATGGTGCTAACATTTTCTTAAATGCTTGAATACCGCTGTACTCTACACTGCATTCTATATTAGCATCTGAAAATACATGTTTAGTTATATTTTAATCATATAAATAACTGCAGTGTTATAACAACAAACTGCAACTTAATGAGAGGAGCATGAGCAAAGTGTGGTGGCAAAAGCCTGAATCCCAGCACTCTGGGAGGCTGAGACAGAATTGTAAATTCAAGCCCAGCCTGGGCAATTTTGAATCCTGGGCAGAGCCCATCTCAAACAATTTTTTTATTAAAAAGATGGAGCACTAGGTTTGCAGCTCCATGCAAAAGTCTGGGGTTCAATCCATAGGACTGGTGAGAAGAAAGAATTAAAAAGGAGGGAACATGGCCTTCAAAAGCAGGAAATGTACAATGTCTAACAGCTACGTTCATTGTCAGTGCTGAGATGGAGCTCAGATGCTAACAGTATTCTTAAACGTAGCATCGCTTACACAGGAAATAGGGAAGCTGATCGTAGGAAGAGAGCTTCTGTACCATGAAGGGGAATTAGAGTTTGCTCAAAGGTAAGCATTAGAGTACAGAAATTGGAAACCCCTATTTACTACTTCTTAGGACACTGAAACATAACAGGATCGTGCTGGAATTTTAAGTTTGCTAGAGTTTTTCAGCATATTTGTGATTATTAACATTCCAAAAATTGATGAACTAGTGTTTTGTACCCGTGAGATGCTAATCTCTGGGGGGTGGGATTGGCAGTCTCTGCTTTTTTTCCTCATTGGACTTCATCTAGATCCAGGGGCGGTATCATTCCATGTGAAAAAAAGTCCTTTCCTGAAAGCCGACAGAGGGTCTCCACAGCCCTGCTTTAGATATTTCATAGCAAACAGTTCTGGCAAAAACTATGCCAATGATGGAAGCAAAACTTTCTCTCAGGCTCTGTCACTCTTCTTTGATCTTTGCCTCTCTTGCAGTGTAGTTTCCAAATCAGTTCCCTGGAGGGTTTGTGCTTCTCTTCTCTAATTGCCACTAGAGAGGGCTGAGAATCCTGCCACTTCCTCATGGTTCCCAACTATGTTCTTTGACCAAAGTTATTCCATAAAAATTACAGGGCCTAGGAGGATCAAAGACTGTGTGGTTTCAAAACCATGTGGTCATTTTTGTGGGACTCTTGACATTTTGGGGAAAAAAGGGAAGAGGTAGGCAACCGAAGCTTTTCAATCCTTTCGTGAGGCAGACATTTTCCACAACAGAGAATCCACTTAAGACCAGTTAATAGCTCAGGAAGGCTGGAGCTGTGTAGCTTCCCTAAACACAGTGTCTTCTGACCTGATGAATGCCACTTGGCAGTAAAGCCCAAGGAAGCCCCTAACATCCTTGCATTCTTCCTCTTTACCCTATTTGTTAAATGCATGACAACTTATAGGAAGCAGTCAGGTTTGATCTGTCTTGCTGCCTTCACAGCCTGCTCCAGAAGTGTACACCCTTGTGCCTGCCGAATGGAATAAGGCAGTGCTTCCCTGCCCCCAGATCAATATACACTATCTGGAAGGTGAGCTACGGTAGAAGGGTCTCCTGTGTGCCAGGTACTGTTCTAAGTGGTTGCTTGATCTTAGCTCATTCAGTCCTCACAGTGACTCTGGGTGTGGGGTTTTCTGTTTATCTCCACTTTAAAAATAAGGACTACAAAGCACAGACAAAGTGAGCAAATTGCTCCGAGCCATGGTCAGAATCAGAATTCAAACCATGAAGCTGACTTCAAAAGTCATACTGCTAACTGCCCATGGATGTCATACCAGAGTGATGATCTGAAAGAAATATTGAGGATGTCTTCCCCCCATCTTTTAGCTGGTTCTTATATAATATCAGATTATCAGAAACAGAGACAAGGGTCTCATTGCTGAATTATGAAAGATATAGGAGGAAAGAGAAAACTTGTTTATGTAGCCTAGTATCTTGGTTCCAAGCTAGACTCTGGTATAATTACTTATATTAGACATCTTACTAATTTCTCCAGAAATTGCTTCACTGCTAACTCGGTGCAATAGGGATATGACTGTCACATCTGCTTTGCAGCATTGTCATTGACAGGAACTTACATGATACATTTGAAGTGTCCAGCACCATGCCTGACACACACAGGTGAGCTGTTATTGATTTAAAACTGTCTTCAACCCTTTGTGGAAATAGAATGATGACAGAAAATGAAACACGTGTGAGTTTTATTAAGGAGATTCTTACTTAATAGAAGATAATTAGACACATGAATTTTAGGTGCAAGTCACTGGTTTGTTCAACCAGTGGACTGGCTTCTCTTCAAGATTCTTCAGTCTTGTGGCTTGGGAGCATTGTAGGGAAATCATGTTGTAATGCACTTTATTAGGTATTTATTATGCCCTGGGGAAAGTCTATGTTGTCCCTCGTTCTGAATTACTGCAATGTATCCCATCTGTTTCAACCCCTCCTGATTCTGCTTCAGAATGTGTAGTACTCCCAGAGCTAGAATTTACCCTTCTCTTGCTGTTAATTAGCAGTGGAAAATCCTTTAGTTATAGGGAGTGATATAAAGTGGAAAAAATAGATAAGATGTCCTAGGACATAAGAATTCTCCTGGGTAAAGTCCTTTGTTGAACAGTTTCCACTAAAATCTAAAGGTTGGGGAGGGTGGGTAGTCCCGTGGGGCAATGGGACATAAGCTTCCAGGCTCCCAGACTGCCCCTAACTTCTCTTCCCTAAGTGAAATGATACAATTTCTACCTTCGAATTGAAAATTTCTCCTTGATTCTCTCTCACCATGGGAGTCCTAATCGCTATACACACCAGTGCATCCACTCTTTCTTAAAGCCTTCTAGAAAGGTGGGAGTGGGGATCCCCTCCAGAGGAAACTCCTCTTTTACAGAGAGCATTCCCATAGCATCTTATGGGTTAAACTTGTGTTGCAAAAAGGATATTAAGTACCCTTTCAGGAGGGGATAACTCCCAATTTAGAAACTGCCATTTCTAAAAGATAAGCCACTAGGCATTCATTTGCACAGCTTTCTATGAAAAGAATAACCCACTGCTTCCAGTGTGTGGGGGAGGGGGCAGAGAGAGACAGAGACAGAGACAGGAGAATGGATTTGATTTATTGCCTTTTGCCTACCTATCATCTATATAATGTATGTATCAGGTTGATAGCTGCCAATCACAGTTAATGAAAATCCCAGAACACGATATGGATTTCTTACTATAGATCCATTTTATCATAGCTCTCAATTTATTATGTCAAATAAATCAAAAGGGAAGGGTTTGTGGCATTGTTCAGAGGCATCCCTCTGCCTCCTACCCCCCACCCCTACCCCACCCCACTCCCCCCGTGTGCCAGTTTCCAGCCCCTCAAAGATGCTTTGTGCAAGAAAGTGCAAGTTCCCATCCTGGCTTTATTTCTGCTCCCTTTTGCTCTCTTCCTGGCTCCCCCCCAAACCAAGCCGGCAAAGCCAATGGCCCGGGCTCCCCCACATTGCCTGACCTGCGTTGACTGGGAGAAGAGCGGGAGAGGGAGCAGCGGCGAGGGAGCGCGCATTCCGGAGCAGGCTGCTCTGCCTCCGACCACAGGCTGTGTTGTGCAGGCTGTCCCCAGCCTCCAAACCCTGCGTCCCCTCCCCGGAGCGGCAGGCAGGGTGCTTCCTTTTAGCCACGTTTGGTATGCATGAGCACCACAGCTGCGGGGAGAGGGGAGGTGGCTTTCTTAAGAAGGTTCAGGGGCTTGGGCGAAGCCACTTGACGAGTCTCTCAAGTTCCAGGAAGCCTCTGCTTTAATGGAATCTGCAGGTGTGGAGATGACCATGGGATGCCAGGGCTGTGGGGGACCATCTGTTTTCTAGGTACTGCTCAGGTTTGCAGTTTCTTGTTTTCCCGGTGGAATTCGGAAGGGGTCATGAATCAGACTGATGCTTCTCGACCCCTAAACTGGACCATCCGGAAGCTGTGCCATGCAGCCTTCCTCCCATCTGTCAGACTTCTGAAGGTACTGTAACTTGCCGCTTTGAATGGTTCATTTTGTGCTTTTCAGGTCTCCATGCCGAACTTCGCACTTGGGCTGGGATGCCCGTTTTGGGGCGTGCAAATGCATGCAGGGATGGTTCTGTTGTCCATAGCTGGAGAGAGGTTCTCCCACCCCCACCCCTGCCCTGTACCCGCCCCAGCCCCAGCCCCAGCCCCAGCCCTAAGGATGATGCCAGCCACACTTGAGAATGAGATTATGGTCTCTGAAAATGGGCTACCTGCACCCCCTCCCCATCCTAACGCAGAATTAATTAACTTCTTCCAGAGAGTGGGAACCACAGTGGGCACGAAATCTCTTACTCCCCTGTGTTTGGTTTCTGGGCTTTTTTCCCTCCCTGGGGAAACCCTCGACCTACTTTCCCTTAAATGGAACCTTGGAGAACAAAGGATTCTCCTCACTATTTAAAAGCCCTGTTGTTAGGTAGTCAGTCAGGTAAAGACAAAGAAATAAGGAACCTAAGCTCACAGGGACTTTTTTGGTGCCCCTGATTTTTAAAAAAGACATTTCTGTCTCCTGAACGAAGCCCATAGTAGGAAAGTATTGTGCAGTGTACACTGAATGTGAGCTCTCTAGCTCTGAGCCACACAAAAGATGCCTACTACACCTGAGCTGGGACTGCTACCCTGTGTCCCCAGCATTTCTCTTTCTAGAAGCAAATGCATAGTATCTAAGAAGTCCACACAGCTCCATAGTATCTTTCATCATATGCCTTATAGGAAATGGAATCTAAATAAAATGTAAAGGTGCAAAAAAGAAGTATTTTCTTCTTTTGGCTAGTAGAGGGAACGTGGTAGCCCTTTTTTTGGAGAAGTGCCTATCTCTCACCATTCTACATTCATTTAAAGTCAAAAAGGCAAGGGAAAGTTCTGCGTTCTCTTGTCCGTATTATATACGATCTTTTGATTTGATTCCCACTGCCATGGAGTGAACTGTCTACAGTGAAGGATTAATGAATTAGCTCTGCGTAAATTACACTCACAGATTTTTTTTCCCCACCAAGGTTGTGTTCTGGTTAAGTTTGATGTGGACAATTATTACCACACAGCTAAGTAGTTCTTCACAACATAGTTGTATCCATTGTCTGAGTTTTTCTGACACTATTAAACACAGACTGATATTAACTTTCCTAAAGCCTGACCCCAAATGCCATTCAAACTCCATCCCATGGTTGTCATGGCAATGCCTCCTTCTCTAAAGGAATAACTGGAAGGAAACACAGGTTTGGGGATGGAAAGTGGGAGAGAGGCTTCTTAGGATGTGCATGTTTTTGCTCCACTGGACTGTGTGTCATTGGTCATGAGAAAAAATGAGGCCAGAAAATTAACAAATGAACTAACAGTTCCTCCAGAATCAATGATGAATCAAGAATCTGGGGCAAAGAATGTTTTGGGGAATCTAAGTGGGACTGAGAACATCAACTCTACTGATTCTGTATGAAATGAGAACTATTTTATTGCTCAAAGTCTTCATTGGCTTTACTCGCCATAATAATGCCTTCTAATTCCTAACAGTATGTGTATATGAGGACTCAGTACATTATTGATTATACTCTAGTTTTTAATGGAAAATATTATTCACTTACTAGTTACAAAACCAGCGGAGAAGTACCTATTTGATTACTTATGTTTGAAAGAGATCCATCACGGTTATACTGAAAAAATATACGTACAGCGCTAAGTAGCAGATGTTGTCAGTATTGTACTGTTGTTTCTGTTGTCAAACTGCAGTCCTACAGCTTTTATTAGCATGGTGCTTAATAGTTGTTCATCTAATAAAGTGTGTTTGTATCCTTCCAATGCTTTTAATATCTGAAAGATAGGATGCATTTGACCAGAGAAGGTTTCTTTGCAAATGATATCTGTGGTTTTGGAAGAGCATAGCTCCCTTATGAGACTTTTGATAGTGAGCGCATTTTCAAACTCTTGAAAATAAAGTAATACTAACTTCTTTAAGAAATGTGTACAAAGAAATAAAGCCTACCTTTGTGCATGAACAATTGTGTTATTCACATGGCTGTGGATTTTATGCATTTTCTTCCTCTGCACTGCCAAAGTCTTGTCTTTGGTTTCCTAGTTCCTATGTGTTCTGGGGCTGCTTTTATCTTTCAAATAGAGTGGAAATTCGTGGATAATAATTTGGCTCTTTTGATAACTGTCCTTCCTGGCTTAGTGTGCACATTAAACTTTAGCGTTACTTTTCATGTCCTTTCTGCCCCTCTCAGACTCATGCCTCCCCCAAACCACTACCACGTTAGCGTGAACTGTGGGCTCTCTGGGTACCCAGGAACCCATGAAAATCCCAAGCTAACAAAGCCAATCCTTCTATTCAACAGGTGAATGGTGTCCCTCTTTTCCAGCACTGTTCTGATAGGCTGTGCCCTGGCTTGATCATAAACGCCTTTCTGGGGCACAGTGGCCTGATTAGATTTATGACACCCAGATCACTCACCGTTTCTGACAGACTGGGCTCAAGTCAATTTCCTGTCCTCTCCTTTTTCTTGAAAATGTGTGTTTCTTTGCTAATGTTCTGTGGTACCATATAATACCTAGAAATGGCTCTGTAATCCTATTTCTTGTATTTCCCATTTCCTAATAGAAATGGGATAGGAAAGACTCAGAAGAAGGCCAGCCTCTAAACATAAATTAAACTCATTAAGGATTGGAACATACTATTATTTCTTCTGAAAACATCTCATTTGTCGTTTTGTCCATCTCAGAACAAATTTTGAGCATGCCAGCCAACTTACATTTTGAATCTGGGGTTGCATTTGGAAATAACACTTGAAAATGAATTTCTGGACAGGGACGTGGTGATGATAGCCAAAAGACAGGGCCTGTTTTCAAAGGGATATGTTTCACAGGGGGCCCTTGCCAAACTATTTCTCCTCTGTCGTCCTTTGCTTTGTCCTTGTGTGTTTCAAAAATTTCATTTTCCCATTAATCACACACACACAAAAGCCTAGTTGGTTACAGTAACAGAATGTTCTTAGCATATTTCATGTTCATTATCAGGTCTGTCTCTGCCATTGTTTTATTTGGAGATTTTATTTTGGTAACATGTTGAATTTGAAGATTATTTTTAGACAGAGAGCTTTCTTAGTATTGAAGTCTTGGCAGACTTTCTGAAGACTTCTGGAAAATGGGTTGCATGAGGAAAAAGAAAACTATATTTATGACAGATTTTAGATAGACACATCTAAGTTGGCTTGTTAATTAAAACCAAATAATCAGTGTCCCTTAAGATTTTCAGCATTTTATGGTAAGCAGTGGTATGACTTTGCCTACTTTGAGCAATGCTAGAAATAAAAAGCAGAAATTGTGTTTCTGAAAACTAGGCCTAAATACTTTGTTATTTTCTCACTGTATTCCTAACTAGCTGTGTGACCTTGAGTAAGTTACAAGGACCTTGTATCATGAAATTCTCTTTATCATAAGGGGTTTGGGTCTGGATTTAGATGCAATACTGTGACTTCCTGTGTCTGCCGTGCTTCATGGGTTTAGATTTGTCTTTCTGGGCTAAAATGGAAAGAAGAAATGGGTAGAGAAAATAGTACTTAGATCGGAGGACCTTGCCTACTAAGCGATGGCATTTGACAGCTATCGTGAAACCAAGAAGGACAATTAAGGAAACTTTCATAGTAAGAGGATCTCCAGAGTTTGAAATCACCTGCTTGTGCTAGCTACAGCACCCAGACTAGGTGCAGAGAGGCTAATGGAAGCTGGATAATTTGATTAGAGTCTTCAGAATGTGTTAGAACTCGGAATAAGGAGAAAGTAAAATACAAAAGGGCTTGTTATTTTAATGAGTTGTGGTCAAAGGAAGACTCTAGAATGGCTCTTGTCTTTCTGCCTTTGCTGTTTGGTTAGACGATGGACAGTTTTCTGAGAACAGATATCCTGTGGAGGAAGGACAAACCACTTCGCTTTTCTTTGATGATCTAGAGAGAGCATGTCACTTACTGTCTCTAGTAAAACTGAGACAAAAGTCAAGAATGTGGCTCCATTATCTCACTGATTAATGCATATGAATGCCCAGTAGGCCATAGCTTTTAAGTAAATAATCAGTGGTGTGGGAGACTAGTTTTATAGGATACCTTTTCTTCTTGTAAAATGATGTATAATTACATAGTAAAGCACCCACGTCTATTCCTAGAACTTTTTTGAGTTCCATTCAAAAAGTTCAGACTTATATTTTTTTTCTTTCTATCTTTCATACAGAAGGATGAATGAAACTTGGTAGCTCAAGGAAAATAGTTGAAAAAGCTGTGATCACGTGAGGGGATCAGTTTGACCCAAATTTTCCCCCAGTGTTAATGTTTTATACGCTATAATTTCACATCTCATAGCTACTGCTTGCTGTATGTATTGTCCCTGAGCAATGTCCATTCTTGATAACCAAATGGATTTGGTCTGTCTTCTACGGCTCTTACCAGGCATGCATGAAACTCACTTCCCTTTGGTGCTCTTAACTATTCAAGAAACTTGAAATTTGTTTCAATTTATGATTACATTCTTTGTGTGGAGCTGGGACTTGTACTTAAGACTATTATTTCCTTTTTCATCTCCTTTCCTTCTCCTTCACCCTTCTTGGCATCTCTTTATTTCCCTCCTACTTGAGAAAGATCTATCTTCCTGCTTCCAATGATCTATCTTTTGTTTTACTCTTTATTTATAATCTGAGTTTCTCAAATAAGAAAACCCATGAGCTATTTAGCTTTCTGCATCTGATTTGTTTCACTTACCACTGTGGATTCAGGATGCACCCATTTTCCTGCAAATGACTCAAACATCCTTCTTTATGGCAGAACTGTTCTTCATTGGGTGTCAAACCACATTTTCTCTTTACAGGAAGTCAAATATCAACAAACCAGAGTTTTATGCAGCTAGGACATGTGATCTTTGATACCTAGTAGGTAGCAATTATGTTTCCACAGTCAGAAAGAAGCACCCATCCATTATAGT